GCCATGGCACGCTACCCAGGGGGATAGCTTGAGGCCTGTCTCAAAAAAAAAAAAAAAAGAAAGAAAAGAAATGGAGTCTTGGCTGGGCATAGTGGTTCATACATAGCATTTTGGGAGGCTGAGGGAGGACGAATGCTTGAAACTTGAGGTCGCTGTCTCTGCTAAAAATGGAAAACTTAGCCAGCCATGGTGCCACATGCCTACTACTCCAGAGACTGAGGCAGGAGGACCATTTGAGCCCAGGAGTTTGAAGTCAAGATGTCTTGTGATCATACCACTGCACTGTGCCCTGAACAACAGAGCCAGACCCTGTCTCCAATAAAATAAAGTAAATGGGGTCTTGCTTTGTTGCCCAGGGTAGACTTAAACTTCTGGGTTCAAGGGATCCCCTTCCACCTCACCTGGAGCTGGGACTACAGGCTGTGCACGAATTGTGCCTGGCTTGTTCAAGTTGCACTATGAGATCATAGCAATTCAGTCCTATCTTCAGGCTCTACTTCTAATTCTGGTTTTCTTGTTCTTTCCATCATATCTATACTTAACTTCCTCAGTGTTATCCATGAGGGCTGGAATCAACTTCTTCCAAACTCTTTCAAATTTTTTTTTTTTTTTTTTTTTGAGAAGAGTCTCACTCTGTTCTCCAGGGTAGAGTGCCATGGTGTCAGCCTAGCTCATAGCAACCTCATACTCCTGGGTCTAAGCAGTTCTCCTGCCTCAGCCTCTCAAATAGTTGGGAGAGACCACTACAGGAGTATGCCACCACACCCAGCTGATTCTTTAGTAGGGACAGGGTTTTACTCTTGCTCAGGGTGATCTGGAACTCCTGAGCTCAAGCCTCCCACCTTAGCCTCCCAGAGTGCTAGGATTGCAAGCATGAGCCATTGTGCCCAGCTGTAAATCTTAATTCTTATTAGTTTATTTCCTTCCCAAATTGCTATTGCCATCATATCTCATTTCCTTCCATGCCCGCATTGAATAGAAACCTAACTGAAAATATTATTGCTGAAAGAGGAGGGGTTAGGGTTATTTGAAGAGTATAGTGGGTTCTTAGGTTTCCTAGTAGCTGAAACTGCGAAGTGATTATGAACCAAGGCTGTTTTTCTGTGGGATCTGTAGACTTTTCCTTGTGATTCTTTGCTTCATACCATTCTCCTTCGTGTATACTGGTGGCTTTTCTTTACTCCTCAGCTTGTACATTGTCTAACATGGTGATGCTGAGGGCCTATTCATCTGAAATTCACAGCTATTGGGGTTTCTCTGTTTTTCAACTACTGAGAAAGAGAATGACACTGAGGAGATCAGCTTAGCTATAAATGAATCTGCATTGGGTCAGGCACACCTGGCCATTCTGTGGGACTGGAGGTAATTTAAACTGATTCTTGCAACTGTGTTACTATAATGTAAGTAGTGTCTGGTCACTGGTGCTAGTAATCAGATTGTCTCCCTGGTCTAGTGTTTGGAAAGGAATGGAGATGAGACAGTGGAAAGAGCAAGAATAGACCACTTTGTTTTGAGAAGTTTGGTTGTGAAGCTAGAGGGAAGAGTACATATAGTAGAAGGGGAAAGGTAACTGGAGGGACTGAACATATGTAAGTCTGATGAAAAACATGTATAGGGAAGGAGTTGTTGGAGAAACCTGTAAAAGGAGGGACTGTACTGGTGTGATTTCTGTACTGACTGTTCTGTACTGGTATGATTTCTGAGAATGCAAGACGGGATTTGGTGTGTAGCTGGCAAGATTGGTCATAGGTAGAATGAAAGATATCGTCCCTGATGAATGGATGGAGGGAAAACTGATAAAATTTTTAAAAATGAAAATAGTAATTTTATAAACTGAATGGGTTTATTGGGGATACATTAATAACCCTATATATTTCAGTGGCACTTACTGGGACTAGTTATTGTATACATATTTATCATCTCCCCATGAAAATAGTTACATTTCCCCTTCCACAAGGGTAAACTTTGGTTATGTGAAGGAATAACTTAACACTTAATATCTTATCATAGAAGAAAGTTACATGTATAATTCATTAATATACTCTTTTCATTTGTTTCCATCTAACAGATTTGTCTTTCTCTTATTTATCATAGGCTTTGGTGAAGCACGTCCAGTCTAAAGGCTATCCAAATGAACGTTTTGAACTTCTCACCAACTTCCCTCGAAGGAAACTATCTCATCTGGACTATGATATTACGTTACAAGAGGCAGGCCTTTGTCCTCAAGAGACTGTCTTTGTACAGGAACGAAATTAACACCATGGCCTGACCTCGCTCAGCTTACCCCTCTTTCCCTTTTCCTGTGAGATACCATATCACTAAGTATGCATTTTGGCTCATAGGACCATAGAGCCAAAGTTGGGCAAGCAAGTCACCTGCCTTCTCTTTTATTTCTTGTTCTCTCTTATAATCAGTCCCTTTCTCCCCCCTTTTTTCTCTTTACTATTTTCTTTCCTCACCTCCCAACTTCTTTCTTTCTTACCTAATCTGGTGACCAAATGAAAGTGAAAGGATAAGACCTCTCCTAGTACTAGCAGCAGGAAATGTGTGTTCCAGTAAGTGGTCTCTTGCACGGCACTTTTTTGGGATCAAATGTTAGTTACTCCCCAGACTCCTTTGCAAAGGAATGACTAGATTCAGAATAAGAACAAACTCCCTTTTTTGTAAGCCTCCATTTTTAGTAAGGAGAAGAAATTCTCTTATTTTGTTTTGTTCTTCATGTAGGAAATATCACGTAATGAAATATCTAGGCTTTTATTTATATGGGAAGAGCATCCCTTATTATCGATCATCATATTTAAAAATTTTTTCAAAGGATTTCCATCTACGTAGCTGTAAGAATTATTTCCATGATATGTGTTATTGGCAGAATGAGTGTTAAATGTGGGTGTGTAGCATTGGGTAGCTTTCAGTATCCCGGCCTAACACAGTTTACTTCATTATTACTCTCCTATGTTGATCCTGCTGGTCCTGTGGACATTCAGCGAGCATGTTTTGGTGACTAAAATAGGAAGATGCTTGCTGTTTTTGCCAGCACAGCATATTAGTTCCATTAACCGCTGCATTGTCTGGGTCCACGGTGATCTATAGGCAGCTGATCAGTAATCATGCACAATAATGGCTTATAATTGTAACCACTACAGTTATTGATTATCCTATGTTCTTTAAGGCATACTAGGTATGCCTCTAGGAGAAAAGAAAACATGCAGCTGAGAGTGGCTAACCGCGTTCCTTTGGTTAGAAATAATGATTCATTTTTTACCACTGGTTGGAATAGTCTCTAAAAGGCTCTGATGACTGAATGAGCATAATTCCTCATGCTGTTTTCTTTCAAATGGTTATCAAAACTGAAAGTCTCTCTAAGTGGAAGATCTTTAAACTCAATTCATAAGCAAACATAAATAAGGGTGATGGAGATTACCAGTAATCTTCAGATGTTGTAAGTTTTTTCTGCCAATAAAAGCCACATTCAAATTGTAGTTAGACAAAGCTTTTTTCAGTGTTATTTAGAAGAGGCCATCTTGAATCTATATAATATAGTTTATATATAATTTTTACTGTATGCTCAATTCTTAATTTTGAGTTTAAAATAGAGTCCTCTGAAGGGGTAGTAATGATTCTGGTGGCAAAATCAGAACTTGTTGTAATATCATAATGTGGAATGTACCTATTTTGTCAATTGGGGATTTAGATTGAGTCTTCTACTTGAGGAACATAAATTGCTATTGCACAGAGACCTTTATGTTCCCATTTACTTTAAGAGCACTCTCTTGGCAATTAGGGGAGTATGGGGGAGAAAAGATACTGTGTGTTGCTAGTACACAATTACAGAATATGGTTTCTAACAGTTGGATTTTGAGGAACCCTCCCTAAGGAATGAGTTATTTATCTCCTCAAAGAAATCATGGAATATCTGTTTATTCTTCAATGAGTCCTTTTGAATTAATGTTCTTACATTTTTTTCTAAGTTTGTGTAAGTGCTTATGTATAAGTATATAATTGTATAAATATTTATAAATATATTTATATAATTACAGTTTCATTTATACCTTGAGTCAAAGTTCTCTCTTTAGATTGGTGACTGAGTAATGCCACTTTGGTGTCTTTTCATAGGCTCTGGAGCTTCACTAGCAGTTTCTAATTTATTGAGGAAACATGGTTTTTATGTTAATTCCTCAATTGTATCTCTGAACTTAGATAATATACTTGCTGTTTGTGAAGACTAGAGCTATATACTATCAAAGGTGCACTGGAGGGTAAACAATTTGTTGGTAGTGGACAAGATCAGAAATTTAAAAATTAAGGGAGGCACAGGGTAAGAATTAAGAGTATGCTCATCTTTGTGCTCTGATGGCATCTATCTCCACTCCCAGCAAAGTCACAGCTAAAGCCCAATTGATAAAAAATGTGAAGTCAAGAATTTTTCCTATAGGTCTTTGTTTCATTCTCTTGCCTACTAGCTTCCTTTGATAAAACATACTCAGAGAACCTGAGACAACATGTTCATTAATGAGAGAATATAGTTCTTTTTGATTCTCTCTGCACTTGCATATTCATTTATGAGAAACCAAAGTGACTTTTTCAACTTGGGTTACTGTGAGATAATTAAATGCATATAAAGTGATTTAAGTAAGAGACAGCATGATATGTTCATCCAACTTAGATACAACTGGGATGTTTAGAGTACAAGAGGTAGAGGATTTCATTTTAATTTGAGGTAGGAATGTAATTATCTTGCGGTTGATACAGAGGCCCATGGGAGGAATTATGGATGGTACATGGGTAGAGTAAATAAGGAGTGTTGCCTTCCTCAAGAACCTAACTCACTTATGCACTACATGTCTTCTGGTTTGCTTTATCTCTTCTGCAAGTTCCTTTGTTCTTCTGGGGAGAGGTTTTATTGAATAGATTACATCAGTAAGGTTAGTTAAAAATACCATTATAGGTGTTGGTAACATCTTGGGAAAGAGTTGAAACAATGGGGAGGAAAAGAACAAGATAGAAGGGGGTGAGAAAAATACAGGGAGACAGGATGAAAACTGGTGGGGAGAAAGTGAGAGGCATGCTTTTTTTGAATTTGATTTAGGAAGAATGGAGAAGATAAGAGAACAGTGCCAAATGAAGGAAGAACAGGGAACTAATTTTGAGTAACTGGCATGTACTGAGTATTCTGCATTTTCTCTGTAATTTTCCTAAAAACCCTACAAAATGTATATTTCCCCCATTTTATAGATAGGAAGAAAACAAGTGTAGAGAATTTGTTCAGGATGTCACAGTTAGTAAATGGCAAATTAGAATTGGAGCACAGAATCCATGCTATTTTAATTTCCATATTATGTTCTTCTACAACAGGGGTGTCAATTTACCTAAACGATTGTCTTCTCATTGTTTTGCTTTGTAAATTATCGTTTAGTTTTGTTTCCTTAAATCTAAGGGGAGTAGTTGAGATAAAGCTTGTGGGATTTGCACTATGCCTGTAAATTCTTATTTATGCCATTATTTTGAGAGGCTGATTATTAATTGCTTTTAAAAATGATGCACTGATGAAAATGTGAAAGGAAAACAGCTGTGTGGCATTATTTGCCAGGAATAAATGGAAAGGATAAAAGAATTTTATCTTTAACCATTTTTCAGAAAAGATATGATTATCTTTTCTGCATCCATCCATACCAGATTATTAAACCCTGTGTGTATATATTTTAAAATCTTTTATAAAATTCTACTTTCTCAACTCTGTATATCAACAATTATTTATTGAGTCCTTAATCAAAGCTGAAAATATTTTGAAATCCAAGATCCAATTCCTGTTTATTTTATCCATTTAGGCAGACACACTACAGATGAGATAATTGGAGAACATGTAAGTGTTTACCTTTCTGAGGTACTATAATTACAATAGAAATTTAGAAAAGGGAAAGAATAGTGTAAGTTTTAGTTAGGAAAGTCTTCACAAAGACATAAGACTATGAGAAGTGGCCAACACAGTAGCTCAAATTTTCTTTTGACTAATATATGTTCTTTAGCTCCAACTTTTGTAACTTTTAGATTTAGGGCATGAAGTTTGTCAGTAAGGCATAATCAGTATCCAAGTAGGAAAGGATTACTGATCCCTAGGACTAAAGATTCTTAGCTAACAGAGATATCACTTGTACACTTAGGAGAAATACCAGAGGGAGCCAGTAGCAACTGAAAAATGAAAGAAAGATTTAATTTCTCTATCCAGGTACAAATTAAATATATAGCATATTACATGTGACACGCAAAAAAGGGCACTATATGTAGGTATAAGTGTACTTGGGTAACAGCTCTGCTAATTAACTGTTGCCTTGGCAATTGTCTTTCTTTCTCTGAGTCTTGGGGTCCTCATCTGAAAAATGAGTGATTGTACTAAATTCATAGATTTGAGCCTCCTCAAGTGAAAGGACTTGTAATTTTAAAAACTGGCATGAGTAGGGAATTGTGGGGCTAACTATTAATATAATTAACTCCATAAAGAAAATGTAAATGTATACATGGGATCAGAGACCCCTTGCAGAAGCTCCAAAGGCTTTCTATAGAAAGCTCTATGGGTTGTCGATGTCTGAATTATATCATCTCTGAAGTCCTTTTCTCCCCCCAAATTTTACGTTTCTACTCTTTTCCCTTTATTGAATAATATTCCTAGGCTAATTAAAAGTGAACTTGTTAATTAGTTTCTTTGCTTTTTTTCCCTATATGCAGGTATAATTTGACCAATCATTTGATCTAACCTCACTGTGATTACTGAAATCTCCAAAAAGGAGAGTATAACAGTTATAGATGCAGTAATGATCTTTTAATTCAGTGTAATTTTTAAACTTAATGCTGTGTGCCTATGAGTATGACTAAAATGTGTATGAGACCCAAATATGTCACTGACACTGGAGTTAAATTGTATTTTACCCATGTGCTTGAAGTACTTTAATGCCTGAGTAATTAATTGTTGGGGAATTAATTTGTATAAATTGTAGCCTTCACACTTGGTTTTGGCAGAAATGATTTTTTTAAGATCCTATTAGTCTGACTTTTAATTTTTTTATATTTTAGAGATGGGCATTTCACTATGTTGTTCTACGGAATTGCTGGCCTCAAGTGATCTACCCACCTCCACCTCTCAAGTAGCTGGGATTATAGTCCCCACACCCAGCCCATTGTTGAATTTTAAAAATATTTCTTATCCTGTAGAGTGTATCTTCATTTTGTCATTCTTCACCCCCACATTCTCCCTCCCCACACACCTTTCTTGACCATCACTAATCATGGGGTGCAGGTTGATGAATAGTAGTATCTTTCGTAACACTAAAACTCAAAGTTATGAGGGTAGAAAGAACTCAACCCATCTTCAGATAAGACAAGTCTTGATGAATAGGCTATGTAAAGACAGCTGTGCGCTATGAATATTCAGCTTCGTTGATTAGCCTTGCTTATCATTTCAGTTATTGTCTTGCCATGAAACTTAGTGTTGCATAGTACACATTTTTAGAATAGTGGCAAGAATGTTTTTCAGAACTGCAAATAATGAACAGAATACCATACTAACATTTATTTCTCCTATTATATAGAGATTTGGCATTTCAATGAAGGTTATTTTGGTTTTTGACTCACGTGTCATTCTTTCTAGAGAGACAATTTAGAATTCAGTATTTTTTTTATTATAATAGAGATTATGATGGCCTTGGTAGTTTCGCATGAAGTAAACTTAAGTGGTTGGATTATTGGATGTGATAAGACCCTTAACATAAAATCTTTTAATCCTTCCCTCTCTTCTACTTCATTTTCTGTACTTTAACATTCATTCTCTCAAAATAGTTATGGTTTTTAATGTAATTGGCTATGTTGAAATTCCATTTCTAAGTGTTACTATGTAGTATTTTTCTTTTTTATATATTAATATTTAAGGGAAGAATTTGAGGCAAACATCCTTTTCATTAAGCTCTCTAGTTAAGGAGAGTTCTCTTATTCCAACTTAGAGAATGGCTGGCTCTTTGACATCCTCTCACTTTTTTTGGCTTACTGATTGCTATTATATTGCTTAAAAGCTCAGCCATTCTCATGAACATGAGTTTTGGTATAGGCTTTTTCTCTGCCATGTGATTTCAAAGTAAAGTTGGGTAAATCCAATATAAATCATTAAACATAATGTAGCATTTCTGTAATGAGGAGGTATTTTCAAAGGATAACCAGATTTACTTATAGGATTAGAGATGCAAATACCAATGGTAGTATTTTGCCCCAAAATGATCACATATTAATCTATAAATACGAGAAGTTACCTTGTACTTAATTCTGTGGCAACAAACAGCAAGTTTTTATTGTTTAATGGTATTTCTTATATAAAGATCAAAATGCCCTAAGGTTTTCTATCCCTTATAAGGTCTCTTGGGTTGGGAAGAATAATCAAGCAAAGTAGTATTTTATGTCCATCAAAAGAAGTTACTAATCTAACTTTGTTAAATGTGGTAAATAAAATAAAATGGAAAACATTTCTTACCATTCTGACCTGGAATTGAATTCTCCCTTCATTGAAGTCTTTTTTTGTTTGCTTTTTTTATAGACTTAGTATGGGAATCTTAATTGATTTAAGGGAGAGATTCTTGATCTGGAACCATTCCCTGCCATTCTGCCTTTTTTCCTGTATCAAGGTAGCTGGCTTTAAAGTGCATGTCACCAGGATCCACTTCAAGTTGATGATATTAGGCTGTTGATACTCAGTTGGACACCTTACTTTTTTCAACAAAATGATTTTATAGTATGCTTTTCTCAAAGCTTATATGTTCTTAATAATGGAAAATATCAATAAATGGTATGATTCAAAATATAAATAGATTTATGACACTAATTATATGCTTTTAACATAACTTTTTGGTAACTTAATGCCCTGTAAGTTAGGCCTCACATGGAGTGACCATGGCCACTAGAAAATTCCCTTTTACCTACTAATGAGAGCAAACATAGTATATGACCTCCACTTCTCAGTTAATGAGTAGCAAGCTTGTAGTAGAGGCTGTTCATCTTACACATTTGGGGACTTGTCCCTTCAGTTTGGAAAGTCTATTTAAAACATTTGCTGGGAAATAATAAAGCTGTGAAGTAATCTTCTAGTCAGTAGATGCAGAGAAATGAGAATCAGTTGGAGTGAACATGATACTTGGTCTTTGAGGGACTTCCATCCAAACTTTAGTATGAATCTGTTAGATAGAATTTTCTTCACTCCTCTGAACTTTTGTTTGTTTTTCAGAACAGTTTTCCATTTGGTAACAAATTCTAAGCATCTGGTGTCTTTTTTTCTTCTGTTTTAAACAAAGTTCTTTTTCCAATAGGTACTGATCTTTCCATGGAAATTCTCAGGAGTGTTTGTAGGCTGTCTGCATGCTTTGTATGAGTTCAATTTGAACAATGCATTTTGAATCATCTGGGATGTCTGAGTCTGGCATTAATTGTGTTTTTAAACATTTTTCATGTCATTTTTGAAACCTCACTTCCCATTTTATTCAGAGAGGTTAATCAAGGAATGAAATTTGTTTGGGGATAGGGATGAGGGTGGGTTAGGGACTTGAGTGAAGTCAACTTGGGGTATTTGCTTTAAAATGTTTTCTCAAGCAGTTCCTAACAGTATTTAGAGATTCCCTGGGATGTTTGTGTACTCAGCTTACTCTGGAAAAAGTGGGGGGTCTTACTGAGACTTGCATTCTTAATGCAGGACAGGCTCTTAAATTCAATCTGTAATGTAACTTTGTTATTGTATCCAAGGAGATAATAGAGGCAGTGCTCCTATTGTAGTGTTTCTGGCAAGTGCTCCCTAAAATGCATATAGAGTTCTCAGATTTCTAGGCCTTTAACCCCATGGTGCTAGGAGATACTGTTTCTGTAGCTCTTCTCAAAAGTGGGAAGATGTCTTTGAGACCTGTGAGCAAGGGGCAGCTGGACCATCTACTAAATTTTTTTGTTCAAGACACATTAGAGACCCTCCTGTATATTTAGTAAGTGATAATAAAGGTGCTAGGGAAAGCCTTAAATTTGAAGACACATGGAGGTGGTAGAAAATTAAACTTGTAGGAGGAGAAAAACATGCCATTAGGTAAAGCAGAGCTGTAACTGCTTACTAAGACTCAGTGGAACTTCCACTTGCTCTAAAACCAGGGAAATCTTAGATAACTGGGTGTGATATATCTATAGATACATATAGTCTATAGGTAAATATTAATACTTTCTAAAATGAGGATCTTCCAGTTGGTGGTCCTCTGGTTTTGGCTGTACCAAATTGTGAATATTCTTGCTGTGTTGTACCCAGTTGCTTTATATTAATACTGCAACTTGAATAGGGGAGGGTGGGAGGGACAGTGGGGCGGGGGAGGGAGGGGAGTTGGGACAATAAGTCTTGAAGACATCAGCTCACTGTGCTGAGAGAGGGACCAAACTCAAGGAAACCTCTGATCTATAAATTCAACTGCTGCATTTTTTTATAAATACATGTAAATGTCCTGTTGTAATATTTGATCTTGGAAATAAAAACAAAAACTTTTCAGTATTAGTTTTTTGTGTCAATTTTTTTAAAGATCAGGCTGATGCATATTATTTTAATTAGTGCAATTCAGATTTCAAAAAGTTGCCCTCATATTCTCATATTTAGGACACTTAGTATTTATTGACAGAGATTAGTTTTTTGTCACATTACATGTCACATTGCTACATGTAATGTTTGGTAGCTTTTTCTGTGCTCCTAGTAGTATGTTGAACACTTATAATAAGGACTCAAATGTTGGTAGAATTGTTAGGAAAACATTGGATTAGCTAGGCTTGTTAGGAAAGTACGACTCTATATTGGATGTATTTGGGCAACTCAAGTGTCTTATCTTTCAGACCAGCAATCATTACTAATGACTAAGGATTCAGCTTAAATAAGTAAAGAAAAATAATTAGTAAATTAATGGGAATAAAGCCAGGAGATAGGATTATGTTGTACAATACATAGAAATTAGTATTGCTGCGTAGTGCACAGTTCCTCGGTGATAAGTTTGTGCCTCTCCTCATGTGGCGCCGTTCCTTATCCCCAGGCTCAAGCCTCACTATGTGCCAAGTAATAAAGATGTAATGGGGAGCAAAACACACAGCCCTTGCCCTCAAGGAACTTTCTGCGTAGGAATAACAACATACATAAATGAAAAAATACAGATTTGATTAAAATAGTACAAAAATGCTAGAAAAGAAACCACTAGAATGTTGGGAAGTTAATTTTTCAGCAGAGACCCAAAAGATGGAAAGAAAATGGCCTGTGCTAAGAGTAGGAGGAAAACTTTCAAGCAGAACAACAGATGCAAAGCCTGTATGGAGAGAAGGCTAATATTCTATAGTGTAGTGAGCAAAGGGAGTAAGAGATCACCACAAGGCTTTAGGCACTAGTAGGAGCTTGGGAGCCATTATTATGTGGAGAAGGGGTTGGAAAAGAGCAAGACCAAGTTAAACAGGTTATGGGGGTGCTGGAGCCGGTGGTTCAGCCCTGTAATCCGAGCACTCTGGGGCAGGTAGATTGCTTGAGCTCACAGGTTCAAGACCACCCTGAGCCAGGGCAAGACCTCGTCTAGAAATAGCTGAGCATTGTGGGCACCTATAGTCCCTGCTGCTTGGGAGACTGAGGCAATAGAATTGCTTGAGCCCAGGAGCTAGAGGTTGCTGTGAGCTAAGACGCCATGGCACTCTACCTAGGGTGACAAAGTGAGACTCTTGTCTCAAAAAAACAAACAAGAAAAGGTCACGGCCAGGTTCAGTGGCATCCGCTTATAATCCTAGCACTCTGGAATGCTCAAGTGGCAGGATCCCTTGAACTCATATGGGTTCAAGACCAGCTTGAACAAAGTGGGACCCTGTCTCTACTAAAATAGAAAAATTAGCTGAGTGATGTTGTGGGTGCCTGTAGTCTCAGCTATTTGGGAGGCAGAGGCAGAAGAGTCACTTGAACCCAGGAATTTTTGAGGTTGCTTTAAGATAGGCTAACACTGTGGCACTCCAGCCTGGGCAACAGAGTGAGACACTGCCCCCCCCCCCAAAATGAAGAATGACTCAAGTTACTGGAAGGTGTAGGTGGTGATAACATCAGTGGGGTGGATCAAACAGGCTTGATAGGGGAGAAGTC